TATTTGCAAGGCACTGGGTTTGATCCTCAGCACTGAAAGAAAAAAAGAAACAAGAAAGAAACGAAGAGAAAAAAGGCCAAGAACCTGGGACTGATTGGATGGGAGTAATGAAGAAGGAGGAGTCAAGGACTGCTCTCTGCTTTTTTGGTTTATGTGACTAAATGGCTAGTACTGGCATTCTCTGTGAGAGCAGGGAAAGGAAAATAGGACTGGAGAAGCTGAAATCAGCTTTGGACAGATTTCACCTGAGTTGTCAGTGAACGCCCAAGTAGAGGCATGCTGGTTAAGTAGGTGGACAGACGGGAATTAAGAGGTCTGCAGAAGTTCCAGGCGAGAGACATTACGTTCAGACACCAATGCTTATTGAGTGGTTGGCTCTTTTTTAGGCCTGGGGTCTTTGCTCATCATTCTTGGGAGGGGTAGGCCCATTCAGATGAGTGCCCCATTGGGGAAGTCAACCAGGAAGTAGGAAAGAGCTTGATTGTGGGGAGGAGCAGGTGATCAAGGAATGACTGAGGAGATAAATGACCTGAATTACAGATGAGTCATCCTTTTAAAGATCAGAGGGAAGAAGTGTTCTGGCAAAGAGAAGAACAAGTACAGGGGCCCTGCAGCAGGAATGAGGGGGCACATTTGAGCAGCTGTAAGGTGTGTGACAGCATGGTGCAGATTGGGAGATGGGAAAGGAGGTTGGAGGAGCCGGGGCTGGCTGGCTCAGTATTTGATCCCGGGGCAGTTGGGCCTGTTCTGAGTATGATCTGCAGTCCTAGGCACATGAGGACATGGGAGAGTGTGTGGAAGGAACAGGGGAGAGGACTCCAGTTAATTGAAGAGCAAGAAAGGGGGAGACTTTTCGAGGGAGACAGAGGAAACAACCCCAGGAGTAGAAGGCAAGAGAGGGTAGGAGAGAAATGTGAGGAAAGAGAACTTTAAAGATTGAAGCAAATGAGTCAAATCATTAAGTAGCAGACCATCACCCCCGCATGGAGATGGCAATCCTAACTCCATCCTTTCTTCTTTCCCACATCCAATCCATTCCCAAACTGTGAGGGATAGAAACCACATAACCTCAGAGGACTGAGATGCTGGCCCCAAGGGGTGAGACTGGGGGGTATCTGACTGAAAGGAGGGTGACAGGAGGAGGAGAAGTTGGAGGAGAAAAAAAGGAATTTCCAGGGCTGGGGGAGGGTGGGGGGCAGGAAATGCCTCACCATGGCCTCCCCAGCTGGCTGCCAATGGATAAGGAACACCAATACGAGAAAACCACTCCTGTCTTTAGCAGTCCATCTGTTAACTCAGAGTGGAAGCAAGTAGGTGTCATTTTGTAGTGAGTTTGACCACAAAGCACACTGGGATTGCAGCAGTGATGGTTGAAGGAGGAAGTGGAGACTAGAGGAAGGTCCTTACTGTCTACTGTAAGGCTAATGTGTGGCGGGAGGACAGGATGCTGATTTGTTGTCCACAAGGTGTGGCTTGCTTCAGCTTGATTCAGAGCAGCACAGATATACCAGAGCCCCTCTCGCAAAAAGAAGATGGCAGGTGGCACCATGAGAGAGCTGGCCCAGAATAGGGTGGGAATTGGGCCTTTGGGGTTGTTCCTTGATAGCCATCTATGAGTATGCACTGTTCTTCAGCAGATCATAAGCTTCTGGCATCATTTCCCAGAACTAGATCCTTCTGGAATCCTGTATGCCACTGAAACCATTCTGTAGTTAGAACAGGAGCCTCTGAGCCGAGCACCCAAAAGTCCACTTACTCTGAGCATATAGGGGGCAGCCAGATTTGTATTGCTTTATAATACCTACTCTCTTTTACATAGCTTTTAAACTGTTTAGGCTGTTTCCCCAGTTCCATTGTAAATGCCTGAAGATTAGGCTCTAAGGCTTACTCATCTTTGCTTTCCCTACAATGCCCTGCATGTATCCAACACTCCTGCAAATGCCCAAGTCTTAAAAATCTGCCAGTGCCACCACATTCCACACTCCCCATTCCCGCCTACATCATTCCAGTTAAATTTTGTGAGTAGTTGAGAAAACTGCCCAGTGTTTCCTTTGGCTAAAAGCAGTGGGTATTGCAAAATTGAGTTGTTCCTTTGGAACTTGTCTGCAGCTGTTTGCATGCGGCTCTTGAAAGAGGGAGTGGCAGCTTTTATAATTGTTAGGGCAAAGAGGGATTCTGTTTCTAATCTGGGACAGCCAGCTGACTCATCAAATGCCTTGACCCCCTTAGCTTTCCATCTTTTCCCTTAGGAAGATGAAATACTAAACTCTAGGGTTTACAGACCATCCTAGACCTCTGTGGAACAAAAGAAAATAACAGAAAACATAGAAATAAAAGAAATATTAGCAACTCATGTTTATTTCTTTTGACCAGTTAAATGAGGATGAATATACCTTTTCAAAAGAAACTTTTCAAACAGTGTATTTTATCAAGCATCCATTTTAGAAGCCTTCACTCACCCCTAGGTGGCAGTGGAAGCAGAGGAACCTGCATAGAAGAAAAGCAGCCAAACATCCTTGGGTTACAGAAGCCGTGTTCTAAATTGGGTCCTAGAATTGTGTTGCTTACCTCTGCCCTACAGTTTCATTTGTGAGGCATTCCTAAGGTTTTTTCCCAGGCTAATTCAGGTACCCATATATGGATTTAGAGAGATGCTCAGTTGGGATTTACACAGTTTTGTGCGGTCGACTTTAACATTTAAAAAATAGGAAACCTTAATATGGTTTAAAAAAGAAAAAAGGAATAGGAGCATTAGACTTGAACTGAGGTTGAGAAAATTATCCTTTGTGGGGTCCAGCACATGGTCTGCTGCTGAGAGCTAGTGCCCTCAGAGTTACCTCAGGCAGGATACCCAGGAATACGATGGCACTTAGCTTTTACAGCCAGTGAGATGGCATTGTGGCCCTTCTCTGCAACTGAATTTAACAGAGGAAGTACTACATGCTACCCCTGACTTCCTTGGAATTTGTTTAGAGATAATAGTTAGGGGTGTTGTTTGGGACCTTTATGTGGGTGGTACTGGGGATTGAGCCCATAAGCATTGTGCCTCTGAGCTATATTCCCAGCCCTTCATAAAATTTTTTTATTTTGAGATAGGGTCTCACTAAGTTGTTGAGGCTGGCCTTGAACTTATGATTCTCCTGCCTCAGCAGCCTCCTGAGGCATGTACCATTATGCCTGGCGAGGGTCATTTTTAACAATATACCATACATGCTTAAGGTTAGTGAGAGAAAGGATAACTTTAGGGGTGAAGGGTGAAGAACAAAACATAATAAAACTAAACTAGGAAGGGAGCAGCACAGTTTTAGAAACTGAGAACAGGCACCTCCTGGGCCTTGGAGAAGTTTGTCCTGATGGCTAAAGATGAGTCTAGGGAAGTAACCACCCTTTCTCCTTCCCACCCCACGGCCATGTTCTTTTCATGTATTTCCTGCCCCTGAACTCTCAGCTACTTATTGCTATAGTGCCTTATTTTTACTTCACCACTGAGCTACCTCCCCAGCCCTTTCCCACCCCCTACTTTGAGGTAGGGTCTTGCTAAATTTCCCAGGCTGGCCTCAAACCTGCAATCTTCCCACTGCCTCAGACTCCTGAGTAGCTGGGATTACAGGTGTGTACTACTGTGCCTCGCTGCTTATTGGTCTTATTCTGTAGTCATATCTGTGTATGTCCTGTGATCTAGAAGACTGGAAGCTCACGAAGAGTAGAGTATTTGTCTTTGAATTCAAAGAGTATTTGTCTTTGAATTCCCCACAGCGCCTTGTCCCTGGCACAAGTAGATTCATAATAAGGTTAGTTGAATGAATCTAGTTGAGGAGAAAATGGGGAAGCAGAAAGTAATGGTGCCAGAGAAGACATGATAGTGTTCCAGTTAAGGGTCTTAGTAAGAAGTGATGAGGTTTGTAAGGGTGGTGATTGGGAGCAAGGGATTAGAAGATGCTTAGGAGTTGATGGGGAGGAAAGTGGATGGAATCTTAAGGTCATAATCCTATATGACATATAAAGGAGCAATTCAGTGGGGAGAAAGGGGATAGACCCAGGAAGGGTATGAAGACAGGTGGGCTTTGGGCATGATGGCATATATCTGTAATCTCAGCTACTCAGAAGGCTGACAGAGATGGCAAGTCCAAAGCCAGCCTGGGCAACTTAGCAAGACCCTGTCTTAAAACAAAATTATAAAGGAGCTGAAGATATAACTCAGTCAATCCCCAGTACTGCACACGAAAGAAAGAAAGAGAGAGAGGGAGGGAGGGAGAGATGGGGGGGTAGGGAGAGAGAGGGAGAGAGGGAGAGAAAGAAAGAAAGCGACTGTGAATATTGGAGAAGAGGAAGGGAGGGGAGAGAGGGGGAATGGGGAGATAGAAATGATCAGAGATGTTATATGTATGTACAGTATGCCACAATGAAACTTATTCTGTATAGTTAATATGTACTAATTAAAAAAGAAGAAGAAGAAGAAGCAGGCCTATGCAACCTAGTAGAAGCAGGGTACTTGAGGACAGCACACACCTTGACCAGAGCACTGGCCAGGGCTTCCTCTACTGAAAGTAACAGAATCCAAATTAAACCAGCTTAAACACAAGAAGAAATTTATTGGTTCATGTAAGTACAAAACCCAGGAGGATGACTGGTCTCAGGTATGATAAGATTCAAGGCTCCAGTGGTGCCCTCAAGAATGTAGATGTATCCACTGGCTCTTTTTTCCTTAGCTCTATTCTTGGGCATACTCTCAAACTAGGTGGCATTGGGCAGCATCAGGCTTGTATCCTGCAAAAAGACAGGGTTTAGTGCATTGCTTTCCCCTGGCTGAACTAGACATCCAATTCTGACTGGCCAGGAAGTTCCCCACAAATGGGCGGTGCACACCCACAGGAAAGGATTAAAGGGATGCTGGTTTAAGTCACTATTGAAAGCAGAGGGAACCTTGGACATGTTATTAGGTATCTAAGTTTCTTTTTCCAATGTTTTCAGCATCTTCATGATACAGTGAAGAGGAATCTTGACAGTGCTGCCTCCCCTCAGAATGGTGATCAACAAAATGGCTATGGAGATCTCTTTCCTGGGCATAAGAAGACCCGCAGGGAGGCCCCTCTGGGCATAGCTGTGTCTACCAATGGGCTGCCTCCAGCCTCACCCCTTGGTCCACCTGACAATACTGGGGGCGATTCCCTGCAGTCCAGTGGAAAGCACTCCCTGGGGCTAGACTCCATCAACAAAAAGTGTCTTGCAGACTCCAGCCTCCACTTGAATGGAGGCAGCAACCCTGGTGAGTCATTTCCTCTGAGCCTGAATAAAGAACTGAAGCAGGAACCTGTTGATGACCTGCCCTGCATGATTGCTGGGGCTGGGGGTTCTATATCGCAGAGCAACCTCATGCCTGACCTTAACCTTAACGAGCAGGAGTGGAAGGAGCTTATCGAGGAGCTGAACAGGTCAGTGCCTGATGAAGACATGAAGGACCTGTTTACAGAGGACTTTGAGGAAAAGAAAGATCCAGAGCCTTCTGCCTCTGCCACCCAAACCCCCTTGGCCCAAGACATTAATATTAAGACAGAATTCTCTCCAGCAACCTTTGAGCAAGAACAGTTAGGCTCTCCACAAGTCAGGACTGGGTCTGCAGGACAGACCTTTCTGGGGCCATCATCTGCCCCTGTTAGCACAGATTCCCCCAGCCTTGGAGGTCCTCAGACCCTGTTTCATACCTCTGGTCAACCCGTGGCAGACAATCCCGGTTCTAACCTGATGCCGGCATCAGCCCAAGCCCAGAATGCACAAAGGGCCCTTCCAAATGTGGTATTGCCTAGCCAGGGCCCAGGAGGGGCCTCAGAGCTGTCTTCTGCCCACCAGCTCCAGCAGATTGCTGCCAAGCAGAAGCGTGAGCAAATGCTCCAGAACCCACAGCAGGCCACCCCAGCATCCACCCCAGGCCAGATGTCCACATGGCAGCAAACAGGACCTTCCCACAGTCCCTTAGATGTCCCTTATGCCATGGAGAAACCTGCCAGCCCTTCCAGCTACAAGCAAGACTTCTCCAACTCCAAACTGCTCATGATGCCTAGTGTAAACAAGAGTTCCCCTCGGCCTGGAGGTGCCTACCTCCAGTCAGGCCATGTGAACCTGCTGAGTCACCAGCCACTGGGTAACTTGAATCAGAACTCAGTGAATAACCAAGGCTCAATGCTAGACTACGGCAATACAAAACCCCTTTCTCATTACAAAGCGGACTGTGGGCAAGGTGGTCCTGGGTCTGGCCAGAGCAAGCCAGCTTTGATGGCCTATCTTCCTCAGCAGCTGCCTCATCTGAATAATGAGCAGAACTCCTTGTTTACTACAATGAAACCAAAGCCCGGAAATATGCCCTTCCGATCACTAGTTCAACCTGGCCAGGTAAGTGAACTGCTTCACTTTTTTTTTTTTTCCCCCTTTTTTCTTTTGCATTACTAGGAATTGAACAGGTACAGGTGCTGGAAGAGCTATAGGGAGGACCCAGGGATGCCCTGGAAGGTGGGAAATGTGTTATCTACTAGATTCTACTTCCAGGGGAATAGAATCAAGGTGCCCCAGTGACAGCTAGATCACCCTCTAAAACTGAGCCTCCTTGTGAACCATCAGCTAATCCACAAGACAGGAGGAGCCCATCTATGCCCTGCCTGAATTGTTTCCCAGATAAATCATGAGTTAATAAGTTTTGGAGTTGCTTGTTATCCAGTGATAGATAACTAATAAATCCATTATAGGGAGAATGTCAGGATTCAATGACATATTGCGTACTGTTTGCCCTATGTCCACTAATTTAAAGTTGGATTTTTTTATTAGATGGTATTGAGTTATACAGAAATGCATGTAGACATGTATGCATATGATGGTGCTTAAACCCGCAACTCAAGAGGAAACAGACATCTATAACCTGACCATTAGGCCCAAGCCAAATTTCAAAATAAGAAGTTTGCCTTTAATATATTTCTTCTACATTTGAACTCTGGAGGCCAAGGCTGTGGACAGATATGAAGAAAGACATGAGACTCCCTCCCTCTTCTATCTCATATTTTGTATGTATTGTTCATTTCTGCTTTGGAGATTGCTTCTCAGTTTGAAGCTTACTTAGTCTTATCCTCAAAAGATTAGAGACCAGAAAACTTAAGTGAAGTTTAAAAATAATTGTCATTATATTCTTTTCATTTCTGAAAAGTATATACATACACAATAAATTGATATGATCTCAAAACAATAAAACAAAAAAAAAGTACATAGCTATTACATATGAACTTCAGAAAAGGAGAGCGACATGCTGGTAAGTATCTTACAGAGTACTCTCAAGGAGCCCTTTAGCTTCTGGTGACAGGGTGAAGGAATTATACTATCAGAATCTAAGAATCTTGGGAAGATTATATGCACAAACGAATAAGAACTGCAAAGGAGCTCAAGAAGTTGAATTTGTTTGAATAATAATTGCTTTTTGCCTTTTTCCTGTACTGTTTTCCCATTCTTCTACATGTGAGTAATGATGCTGGAATAATATGGTAGCCTTTGACATGACTCCTATTTTTGGTTTATATACTAACAGAGAATCTGTTAAAGTTTCCATTGATAACACAGTATTTTTTGAGCATAGTATCTGACAAAAAGCTAACCAGTTTCTTCCCAGAAAAATGCTTATATGCAAGTAGATAGACATGTGATTCCTGGCAGTTTAGGGATAGCCCCAAACCCAGGTCCACACCCTGGGGATATAACATTTCTGTTGAACAGAACCTCCCTCAGATTATGGGTCTCTTTTCATGCACATGTTCTGGTAAGTGAGCATTTATAAGTCTTTATTGCTTATTGGAACTTGGAAATTTGAGAGCTTGAATATGCTTAATTTAAGTAAAACCACACTTCTGCCACTGGTGAACCGTAGGGAGCCAAGCTAACATGTCAAGTGCTCAGGTAGTATCTGTTTTGGTCTCTGCCGCATCCCACTGGAAGGTTTTATAGGAGGTCAGCTGGGAAGCAGAGGCTTGACTTAAGAGAGTGAGCCTTGAATGAGGTTCTCCCTAGAGCTGGAGCTCATCTGGACTGATCAGAGCATGAAGACTCCACCCACCCACCCCTGACTCTATCCTTTTTCATCTGTGTTGACAGGAGCAGAACCCTTCCAGCATCCCTGTGCCAGCCCAGGCTGCCAGCGTGGGGACCCAGCCACCTGCTGTGTCCGTGACCAACACTCACAACAGCTCCCCCTATCTCAGCAGCCAGCAGCAGGCAGCTGTAATGAAACAGCATCAATTGCTTTTGGACCAACAGAAGAGGGAGCAGCAGCAAAAACATTTGCAGCAACAACAGTTTCTGCAGAGGCAGCAGCAGCACCTTCTGGCAGAACAGGTAAAAAGAGAAAGGAGGAAGAAAATCAAGCAGACTCTATTTGCACCTGTGGACTTACCTTGTTTTGCTTGCATGCCTGGTGTTAGAATGCTTTGTCCTTTAACATATACTTTCTAGGAGTGTGGCATTTCTCCAACAGAGGTGGCCTATGTCTGAAGCTACCTTGTGTCACTTGGGATGAATGAAGGCAGAATCTATGACTAGAACTCTTAAGTATAAAGTGCATTTTGCCATGTCACCGAGCTCCCTTGTTCATCAGGAACCATGGGTCCCAGCTTTGTAAATGTGGTTTATTGTCAGCCAGAACATGGGGAGAGGAGTGAAGATGTCCTTGAGGTTCTAGAATCAGGATGCACAGTTTACTGGCTTAGTCACCAAGCTCAGTGTGCAGGCACTAAGGGTTATTAAGTCAAAGTTCTCATGATTTTAAGTACACAGGAACTGGCTCGAGGGAATGAAGTCTAATTGAGAATGATCACTGACCCAATTCTGCCATTTAAAAAAATTATTGCTTTATTGGGATATAGTTCATATAAGATATTATTCACTCATTTAAACTGTACAATTCAGTGTTTTTAATGTATTCAGAATTTTGCATCCATCACTACAGTCCAAGAACATTTTCTTCACCTAAAAACAAGACCTATGTCCATGAGTACATTCTTCATTCCCCAATCTCCTCAACCCTATACGGTGTCTAATCTGCTTTCTATCTCTGCACATTTGCCTATTCTAGGCATTTTGTGTAGATGTTCTCAAGATTCAACTGGGTACTTTTATTAGTCATTCATCCATCTGTTCATGAGTATTTAGGTTGTTTCTGCTTGTTGACTACTATGAATTACACTGCTCTAAACATTGATTTAGTAATTTTTGTGCAGACATGTGATTTGGGTTTTTTGTTTTTTGTTTTGGTACTGGAGATTAAATCCAGAGAGGCACTTAACCACTGAGCCTCATCCCCAGGCCTTTTTTTGTATTTTATTTAAAGACAGGGTCTCACTGTGTTGTGTAGCACCTCAGTGTTGGTGAGGCTGGCCTTGAATTCACAGTCCTCCTGCCTCAGTCTCCTGAGCTGCTGGGGTTACAGGTGTGCGCCACTGTGCCCAGCCACACATGTTTTGAAATATCTTGGGAATATACTAGTGGAATTGCTGAGTCATATGGTAACTGTGTTTACCTTTTGAGGAATTGCCAGACTGTTTTCCACAGTGGCCACATCATTTTGCATTCCCACCAGTAGTGTATGAGAGTGCAAATTTCTCTATATCCTCACAAATGCTTTTTATTTTCTTACTGTTTTTTCCCTCCATAGTGTTGGAGATCGAACCCAGGGTCTTGCACATGCTAGGCAAGTACTCTACCACTGACATACACACCTAGTTCTCTGTTTTTTTTTTATCCTAGTGGTATGAAGTAGTATCTCATTATGGCTTTGATTTCCCTTACTTACCCTCCATTTTTCTAAACTGATACACCTGCCTTTTTTGTTGTTGTTGTTTAATTCATTACTCATTGTATCTTTGGTTTCATACTATTTATTAAAAGTTCCCCAGATGTTCTGGACACAGTGATATACCTGTAATCCCAGCAATTTAGGAGGCCGAGACATTAGGATCACAAATTCAAGGACAGCCTCAGCAACTGAGTGAGACCCTGTTTCAAAAATAAAACTTATTTTAAAAAAAGGACTAGAGATATAGTTCAGTGGTGGAACGCCCCTGATTTCAATCCCTAATGCTCAAATAATGCTCACCTGCATTATTCCTTCAGGAGCCCCTCTGTGAATAACAGTCTTGAACACTGCTTTTCTCTGACCCGACTCTCCTGTTTGTTTTTGTTTTTGTTTCTGATTGTGTATTGTTTTGTCATTATTGGCACTTCTAGGAGAAGCAGCAGTTTCAGCGCCATTTGACCCGCCCACCCCCCCAGTACCAAGACCCAACACAAAGCACCTTCCCACAGCAGGTTGGACAGTTCACAGGTAAGGGGGTGGAGTGGATGCAGAGAGAAACAGGTTTGGGCATACCAATCAGGTCTTCTCAGTTCCTTGTTGATCGTTGTTGAGTACTGATTTCCTGTTCCCTGCCTGAAATGGATTTACTCACTCCTGGAAGCCTTAGTCTGTTGAGGGGACCTATCACTCTAGTCACTGTGTAGCACCAGGCAGATTGCTGGAAATGCCTTTGAAAGAAAATAATGTCTACTCAGAGGTCATCTTACAAACAGGAAATGGCTTCTATAATTCTTCCTTTAGGTGTCTCTTCAAAAAAATAACCCTTTCTTGTTTTCTAGATAAGGAGAAACTTAATGTACTTCTATAGCTTTTTGCTTCTTTTCTCTCCCCATTTGCTCACTTTGGTGTCAAAAACAGCTGCATGAGTTAGCCAGGAAAGGGTAGGAAGCATACTGAGGTCTCAGCAGTTGTCCTGAGATGTGTTGGGTAACTTTCTTGGGCTGTCACTCCAGAAGTGCATAGAGGTTTCAGGTGACCGTAAGAGCTGATCTATTTCTGCTTTCCTAACTTTTCTTGCAATATCTTAGAAACCTCTTTCCTTAGTCAATGACCCTCACTATAAAGTGTGCCAGAGAAAATGACTATATCCATGTGTCCTGGAAAAAAGACCAGATGAGGTTTTATGTGTGGGCCAACTGAAAACATGGGATTGGAGTCCACAGGTATCTCAGAACCCTGGGTCTGGTCCATGTTTCCTGCCTCCAACCCCATTTCACATTGTTATGGACTGTTATGGACTCTCCTCTTTTCCTTGGCCCAGTTTTTATTTAGGTACTAATAGAAAGAAGAAAAGGAAAGTATTAAGTTGTGGCCAATCCCTGAACAATGATCCTCCTATCCAGAAAAAACCTGTGTGGATTAATGGTGTTACCATGTACCTGTTACCTAGGCTAAAAACCCTAAACAGCAAGTTCCCTGAGGACAGGGGCCTTCCCTGCTGCCTGTCAGAATGGCACCTGCCACATACTAGGTGCTCAGTAAATAGTTGTTTTCATGCTAGACTCTTCCCTTCTTGACCATCTTGTTATTTTATGGCTTAAACATTGGGGTCTGGTGAAATGACTTTACCGAGCCCTCTCCGTATTACCACTACCTCAGCAAAGTGACCTGAACATTTATTTCTCCAGCAGAACTAAAGCACAGTCTCAGACCAACTCCTGTTTGGCCTGCTCTTCAAAGGCCATCCTCAGCTTTTTCAGTCTGACCTGGACTAGCTCTTCTGTCTTATTGCTAACTAACTAGATACTGTCCCCTTGCTGCAGCCATAGCCAGCCTCTTAATGTCCCTATACTGCCTTTCATAACTCTGGCCTGTACACATTCTTTTCTCTGCCTGGAATGTTCTTCTCCTCCAAGCTGTTAATTTGCTAAACTTCTACACTTCTAAAGCCCAGGGTATTTGTCACCTTCTTTCTGAAGACTCCCCCAGGATTCTCCTCTTGGCAGTGTACCTGTGCTCAACAGATCTGGTATTAGGACATTGTCTTTCATGCCTCTGAATGGCTACAACTTGAGTCTTAGAGTTGTCTCCACAGTGGCAGTCAAGAAATGTTGACTTTACCAAAAAAAAAAGAAAGAAATGCTGATTTGATTGATAGAATCTTCTGTTTTATAGGATCCTCTGCTACTGTGCCTGGCATGAACAACTTGGGTTCGTCCAACTCCAGCTGTCCTCGAGTGTTCCCTCAGCCTGGGAATCTAATGCCAATGGGCCCTGGACATGCTTCAGTTTCTTCTCTCCCCTCAAACTCAGGCCAGCAGGACCGGGGTGTGGCCCAGTTCACGGGCTCTCAGAGCATGACTCAGAGCAGTCTCTATGGTATGGCCTCTGGCATAACCCAGATGGTTGCCCAGCCCCCGCCACAGGCCACCAATGGACATGCCCACATTCCAAGGCAGACCAGCGTGGGCCAGAACACCTCAGTTTCAGCTGCTTATGGACAGAACTCCCTGGGGAGCTCCAGTCTCTCCCAGCAACACAATAAGGGGACCCTGACCTCTGGTTTAACTAAGCCACAAGTCCCAAGGGTGTCAGCATCTATAGGAGGCCAAAATGCCTCCTGGCAACATCAGGGAATGCCGAACCTGAACAGCCAGACTCCAGGGAACAGCAATGTAAGTCCCTTTACTGCAGCCTCCAGTTTCCACATGCAACAGGCCCACCTGAAAATGTCCAGTCCACAGTTCTCCCAGGCAATGCCCAGCAGGCCCATGGCCCCCATGAGCTCAGCAGCTGCAGCAGGGTCCATGCTGCCCGCAGTGAGCACACAGCAAAGGACCAACGCCCCAGCCCCTGCACCCCCCCAGGCGGCCCCACAGCAGGGCTTGCCCAGCCTGAACCCTGCAGGGCCTGAGCTAGGGGCCTTTAGCCAAAGCCCTGCCTCACAGATGAGCAGCCGGGCCGGACTGCACTGCACCCAGGCCTACCCTGGGCGGACCGTGGGCCAGGAGCTGCCCTTTGCCTACAGTGGGCAGCCAAGCAGCAGTGGGCTATCCAGTGTGGCTGGACACACCGACCTGATCGACTCCCTGCTGAAAAACAGGACTTCCGAGGAGTGGATGAATGATTTGGATGACCTTCTAGGGTCACATTAATGGAGGAATTTATGGTGTTTTTAGTGTTCACACATCCTGTATTTTTGTTCTCAGATGCAAGAAAGAGCAACTACTTTGGACCAAAAGCCCATGGCCCAGGGAACCCTGCAAGGCAGAGCCTAAGCTGTGGCCGAGACCAGCCCTGGTCAGGATATTTGGGGCTCCCAGGCCAGCAGTCGCAGTCCTTTGGGCTGACCCCCGCTCTTCTGCTGGCATGACTGCTGGGTGTTGGGACAGCAGGATAGGATTCTAAAGGTGGTTTCCTATTCAAATGACCAAAAAAAAAACAACAGTAGCAACAGTGAAGCCCCATAATGTCAGGCTTGTAAAAATCTGTGCCATCATGTTGACTCCCAAGATTTCTCCACTTGCCTCAATGCTGAGACAGTTTTTGTTGTTGTTGTTGTTGTTGAAACTTCAAATAGCAGAATTATTTGCAATTTGTAGCATAGAAAAGATTTTTTAAAAATTTTTAAAGGGTTTTAAGCAGATTAGATAGGTGATGATTTAAATTGATTAAGCAGGCGTTGGAAACCTAGGGTTCCTTTTGATTAAGAGCCTGTTTTTATTCCTGCTCTTTGTCAGCTTTCAGGGGAGAAGCTAGAAAATTATTTCTGTAAACGCAGGCTATGACTGCACATGCCAAAAAGGAACAGGAGGCCATGAGATAGCAGATCTGATTACCCACAGAGGGTCTTCCCAGCAGCTCCTCCTAGTGCTGTTCTTCCTTGTTGTCACTCTTGAGTACCCCAATCTCCCAGGAAGGAGTTCCTTCCATATCCTGGCACCAGGACCCCAGGCTAAATGCTGAAGGTGGAGATTCGGAGATCTAGTATCCCCATGTGTTACGACTCTCCACCTTTTGCAGCTTCTCTGGCAATTTGTACTAACATGGTGGAGCATAATCATTGTTCAGTTGTGTGCAGATGACTTTTTTCTACCCCATCTTCTTTTCCCATGACCTTTCTTTCTGCTTCCCCTTCTTCCTCTCTCCAGCCATAATAGGAACAGTGATTTACTACATTGCAGGGGGGAAAGAGTCATTAAAAGTCCTTGGGGAACCCCTAGTACTATAAAGGTTTGGGGAAGGAGGCTGCAGGCCAGCCCAGGGGAAGGGATTCTACTTAGCTGACTTCTGCCACTCCCACATCAGATGACTTGCACTTTTAAAGATTGCTTTATAACACTAACACATCCTCTAAAGATTTAAGTGGATTCTCTTTGAAGGTCTATTAGTTAATGGACTTGACTGAGCTGAGAGCCCACAGAATGGAATATGGTGTGTGGGCTGTTTGTGGAAAACAAGAAAGAGCACTTCTTCATATTGAAAGCAAGATGGTGAGCGCAGTGCAAAACTCTTTACACAGGGTGGTGGAGGGAAAAGAGTCCACTGAAAAGAGTGGCATACGCAGTGGTCTGTGGAGAAACCACAACCCCCTCTTTGTTTCCCTAGAGTCTCAAAATAGATCATTAATGGAGTATCATGTGAAGATATGAGCCAAGGAGAATACTCCTGTGATCAGACTGGATCACTTTGGAAGGATGAAAGGGTTGTACGCAGGTTGGTAATTAGTTTGCACCAGCAGTGCCTTTTTCACTGGGGGTACTTGGACCCTCAGATCCTCGTTTCTGATAGCCATTTGCCACCACCAGTGGTGTGTGGGCCATTTCCCCTTTAACCATTCTCCCAGCCTTCCCCAGATACTCAATTTAGCTCTTAAGGGGATGAATCATAAAGCCAGTGAAGACTCCACCCTCTGAGCAAGTTCCCCAATCTGAAGGGGAAGAGGGTGACTTCAGTGGGTTTTCTACCAAAAACAGGGCTGAAGGCTGGTTTTGGATCCTTGTTCCTCTCCTGGTCTCCCCCAGCTGCTGCCCGCCTTCTGCCTCTGTGCCCCAAGCACTTGCCGGCCCCTGCACTCTGCCTTAGACTCAGCCGGCTCCACAGACAGTGGGCTTCTCACTTGCTGCAGTGTCATAGCAATAAAATGTGATTCTTGGGGTCCCCCTGGGAGCTGCCCATGGCTTTATTTATGAATCTGGCTTTGGGGAGTCAGGGGAGGAGATGACTCTGCTTCCGTGCACATCCCCATCTTCCCAGAGCCATGACTCAGAAGAAAAGGGTGCTCGGACTTTCATTATACACATGTGCTTTGTGTAAATAAATGTTTACAATTTTATATTGAAGATGGAATAAGCGTTAGAGCTTCCGACTGTATATTTTTTACTTTTATAGATTTTAAAACTATGATCCTTTATATATGTGTTTTGGGGGAGCTATGATAAGTTTTATGGCAAACAGTTGGTATTGTTAACTTTTTATGGTCATCAGAAGTACATAAAAATCCTGTTAATTCCCTATTCTTCTACTTCCCTTAACTCTGGTATACACCAAAAAGAAACCTTTACTTTCCTTGTTTTATCACTATAAAAATAATAAAAGTATTTTGCTAGTATGGAAACTGCCTGTGTATTTGATTTACTGTCGGGCAAGCCAGCAAGAAATTCTTCGTTGACTTCTTTTTGTGATTCAACTTAGCTTTCTTATTGCACATTGTTACAGGGATTGGTATGTTGAAGCCTCAGAGTAACTTCTGTTATATGATGATGGATACAGGAGCTAACATCACTAGAAAAGCCAGGGTCACTCCCCTCTCAGGCATGTCCCGTGTCTAGTGTGAGGGAAGGTGGAATAGATAACTCAGAATATTTTAGGTCCTTAGTGGTCTGATGTTTTATTTAAAACTTGGGTATGTACCCTCAAAGATTTTCTTCCCCAGGTCCTTCTTAGTCCCTCTTTAGGTAGGGTTTGGTTTCCCTTTTTCATCGTGAGAACAGTGTGCTCACGTGTGTCTTCCCTGCCAGCATCATGCTGTGAAGGGAGATCTGATGATGGAGTCTGGTTCTCAGGGGTGAATGGTGGCCACTCTTCCCCACTCTACCCACCAGGAACTGGAAGCTGGAAGCAGCCGGCATTCCTGAAAGCACAGAGAAGAGCAGGGAGGTGGGGTGGAAAAGTATCCCTAAAAGCTAGATTAAATAGTAGAAAGGGAGGAAACATGCATGACAAACACAAAACCATGTTTATGGCCTTGCCATGTAAGGGACAATAAAGGAAAAAGAAAAACACTTAAGACTGACCATAAAGTCTTGGCTAAGAATGCACAACATCTGCGGAACCAACTCAAACCAGAATTAGTATGCACCAATCCTGCTTGGCAGGTGAACGCAGATGAATAATAACCCAGTGCTGGCCACTGCATGGTGAAGCAGGTTACTGGAATATCTGCTGTGGGAAGTTTTGCAAGAAGTGTCATCAAGCTCCTTAAAATATGCTATCTCTCTAGCCCCACAATTCCAATTCTAAGAAGCCATCCTTCTGTAACCTTTCTAAAAAAGCTTATAACAGTGGTGTTCATAGTAATACTATTCATAAATGCAGAGAAGTAGGATAATCTACACAGCTGCCATAGTGGATTGGTTAAGTAAATTGTGAGATAGGATGATCTTACATCTAGATAGAATGCAGGGTTTTTGTTGTTTGTGCTCCTGGGGATTGAACCCAGGGCCTTGTGCATGCAAGGCAAACACTCTAGCAACTGAGCTATATCCCCAGCAGTTATTTTAAATATGAAGGTTTTGAACATAGTAACTTAGATAATGGTTTGGGGGGTGGGGGGCTGTTGTGAGCCAATTGAAAAGAAATGTGGCTAATAGCTCTAAAAATTCCTTCTTTGCAGCCATGTCGGAAGTTAGGCATAACTTCAGAGTCAAGGAGGTATTGACCAGTCAGACCTCAGGAGTGGCAAGGACCAGGTGGTTTCAGGTCTCTGCAACTCTGCCACCACCCAGTATCTCACAGGTTGCTAGCCAGGCTTAGGGTGGTGGAGGAGGGCTCCATAAAAGACAGTTTGCCCAGCAGCTGTTAGGGAGCACCTGCTGTGGCAAAGCATTCTGCCAGGGACAGGAAATGTAACGAGGATAGCAGCAATCCAGGAGGTCAAGGTCCTTGCTCCAGTCTCCTATGGAGACTTCACACACAAGCCATCAAGATCATTCCAGAAGCTGGGCGTGGTGATGCACACCTATTGTCCCAGTGACTCAGGAGGCTTAGGCAAAAGGATTGAAGGTTCAAGGCTAGCATTGATGACTTAGTGAGACCATATTTCAAAAAGGGCTAGAGGTATAGCTTAGTGGCATAGCACTCCTGGATTCAAATCCCCAGTACAAAACAACAACAACCCCAAAACATTCCAGAGAGGTGTAAAAGGAATCAAAGCAGGGTGATAAGATAGCGATGGGAGGCAGTCAGGGCAGGTCTCTTAAGAAGATTATATTTAACTGAGTTACAAATGCTGGAAAGGATCCCTCCAGCCAAAGCTCAGAGGGAAGAAGGAATTTCCCCCAAAGGAAGAGAAGCACTGTCAACACAAGGGGGTGGAATGCCCAGAAGGTGAAATTAGGTGCCACCCCACATGTTGAATTTAAAAAGCAAAGAGGTTTTTTTATGTCCAATCCAGGAGCAGCTCTTGCCTCCACCAAGTGCCTTTGGGGTTCAGTGAACCTCAGTGCAAGCCTGTGCCATTCCAGAACTTCTGCCAGCCCCTGCAAGACTTACTAGCTTGCCCATCCTCAAGAGATGCCCAAGGTAAGTTAGGGCAAGGTCAGGGGATTCATGTTTCACCTTGGGATTAGACTGCCACACCACTGTTAGCAGTACTATCAATAAGGCTGCCTTGCAGCCAGTCAACTGACACAGGCCTGGAGCTGGCAATGTGGCTGCAAAGCCATTGGGAATTGCAAAATGGGAGCTGCCTGTGAACAAGCTTGCAAGAGCCTGAACTTAAATGTATTCCAGGGTATCTCTGGCCAGCACAAGAAATGGGTGGTGATACATTTTCTTTTTTGGACATTTCACCTGTTATATGTTTTTTTTTCAGGGGGTGGGTACTGGGGATTGAACCTAGAGGTGCTTTATCAGTGAACTACATCTGCATCACTTTTTATTTGTTATTTTGAGACAGGGTCTTGCTAAGTTGTTTAGGGCCTCCCTAAATGGCTGAGATTAGCTTTAAACGTGCAATCCTTCTCCCTCAGCCTATTGAGATGCTGGGATTATAGGCATGTGCCACCACACCTGGCTGTCATACACCTCTTAATGTATGGGCCCCTTTGAGGCTGATTGTACTCAGGCATCAAGGAGAAGTTACCAGTTGAATGGTGGCAGTAAGCCAAGCCACGGGGTCTAGTCAGTGCACAGAATTCATTAAATGGAAGTTGGAAAATGTAACTTCAGACCCCTATTCAAAGTGGAAATCAGAAAGAATTCATGGAGCCACTGCTATCTAAGTTTCCTGAAATGCAATCTGAGAGGGGTAACCTACAGTAGGAAAAAACAAGATGCTGTCTGCTACAAAACCACAACAAATATGGTAGCTGCTACTGGGGTTTGGGGGGTGGTCCAGAACGTGACCAAATCAGAAGATTTCAGCACTGCAGGCTAACTGAGCAAGTCCTGACAACACAGATTGTGACCAGAACCAGAAGCAGAAACCAGCCCCTGACAAGCGTGGCTGTTTGGTTGCTCTGTGGAGTCAATGCAGAAGGCTCCATTTTTCTTTGGAAAAGCAGAACTTCACAAGGTTAAGGAAAGAAAAGCTGGACTTTGACATTCTTATTAAGTTATGAGAAGACCTAAATACATTGTATGCAACAGACAAATGCTTGCCTACCTTTGTATGTATTCCTATGACACCATCACCTTTCCTCATCATGAATTTTAAAGCTGCAGGTTGGGTCTATAACTTTTGTAAGTAACCAGATTTATGTAACACAAGACAAGGCCCAACCACATGGAGTCATCTGCAAGTTCAAAAGCTATGTATATTACCATCCTACTGACTACATCATGTTATGATGACAGCTGGAGGACTAAGAAGGTCCTAGGCTTCTAGTAGGACAAAACTTAAGTCTGCTTTATTAGTCATATTTTCACCCCCTACATGATTTCTTTTCAACTCTTGCTTGTGTAATAACAAAGTTTGCAGTTGCCTCTTACTCCTTGCATTTAGCCTATCCCAATCAACTGACTGGGTTCTTCTCTCCCCATCTCCACTGTATAGCAGCTCTGTGGCATTATAGGAATACTCAATAACAGGGCTTGTCTAAACCTGAGACAGCCACTGTGAAACTTCTCTGTGTTAGACCCAAAGTGGGAAGATCGAACCAGATCGTGGTGCCAGTCATAGTGGAGTCTGAAATCAGACACCCCTTCAGGACAGCTGCTGAACCTGAGACTTGTCTTCCATGGAAACGGCTGCCTTGCCCAAGGTTATGCCCCTTCCCAGGGGCAGCCCACATCTGGAGACTGGGCAACATGGGGTAAGAAGGTCCAGACTCTTTTGTTTTCAATTTGGAACATCTCCAAAGGGCTACTCCAGTTTCTCTGTGCTTGTATGATTGGCTGAGGCTTCTGTTGTGACTGTATTTCAGTTCAGCCTCCCCCTGCCCAGTTCAGCTGCCTTTGCTACCTTGCAGATGGTGCTGATACATTCAAAAATCTTGACCCAAGATGGGGTGCTGGGCATGGTCTCAGGAAGTTGACTCTTCTAAACTGGGAGTTTGGAGCTGGCTTCCTGCTGGCTTGCTAACCTGATTGCCCCACCATTGGCATGCTGTAAAGGGACACTTGTTAGAACTTTCACTGTGGTGATACCAGGATGGATTATAGGGAAAGGCACCTCAATCTCCAGAGTAGATGGGATTACAGGTGTGTGCTATCATGTCCAACCTAAACATCTTTTCTTTATAAATTATCTAACCTTGGGTATTTTTGTAATAGCAACAGAAAATAACTGAGACGGGAATTCTGGGCCTTCCAGGGAGGAAAGGAATAACATGCTGAGGTACTGCAGGATGTTGCAAATGGGGCAGGACAGGAGCCAGCAATGGGCCTAGGACACTGGGTGCCATATTGAAGAACAGAGAGGTTTATCAGTATGAGAGCACTGTTGTGACATAGGACTTAACACCCTGACAGGGCCCCAGGAAACAGTGCTGATAGGCTACCAGCTTGGCTCTTGGAGACTTTGAAGAAGCAAATGCCCTCACTAAGCAGTGCAGAAGCAACCATGGTAGGCAATGGAGAAAGGGACCACAGTGTTTAAAGAAGTGGGTATGCAAGAGTGGACATGCTGTATGTGCAGCAGGCCCCCGAGCCCCAGTTAAATACGTTCTGCAAGAGGACCCAGAGCACAATCTACTTTCCAGAAGAACACTGGAGCAGAGCGTGGACAACATTGAGAAGCTCTGTGGTTCCTCCCAGTCCAAAACTAACAGTTGAAGACATTCCCTGATAGCAATGGAGATGTTAGGACTTCAGAGGAATAGGGCCAAAGGGCAGTGCAAATCTTTCAGAGGCCAGGTGGGATCAGTTATCATAATGAGTGGCCAGTTTGGAGGG